TTCTCCGCGCTTGGGCTCTCCTCCTCAGAATGCTTTTCACTGTTCGGAATGGTCCATCGGGCCGTCGACGAAGGGCTCGTGTTCTCGACCCGCAGTCTTGTGGCCATGTTTCGTCTGTGCACGGCGGCGGGCGGAGTCGTTTTGACGACCAGGAGGTCTCCGCGTCACCACGTTTGGATGTGACTCGAAAAATCGGCTGCACGGGGTGTCCGGGTGGGATCTGGGGCCATTCTGAGCGGATCGGGTCCCAGTTTGGAGGGAATCAGGTGAACCGTGTGAGTTCTTTCGAGGCACAGGTGCTCTATTTGATCAGCGGTGGCAGAGGGGACGGAGGGGGAGGAGGAAGAGGAGGAGGAGGAGGAGGAAGAGGAGGTGGAGACAGAGGGCCAGGAGGAGTTGCGGAGGAGGATGATGACGCGGCGCGCGCTCGGCGCGGCGCGGGGGGGCGGCGCCGGCGGCGGGCCCGGCCCGGCGCGCGCGGGGCGGAACCTAACATTGTGCGCACCTTGGGGGGCCCCGCCGCGTCCTTCGAGACGTTGGGCCACAGGGAGGAGCAGGACCAAGAGGAGCAGAGGAGGAAGATGGGGACGAGGAGATGAGACCCGTTTACAGTCAAGAAGCATCAGCGATTTTGCAATAAACCCTCCATCAAAGTCTCCCCTTCATAGGTCCTTACAAGATTTTCCTTGATTGCGGGAAGTGCCCCCTTGAACAGAACCGCTTGAAACTCGCCAACCGTGCCAAAACACCGTTCTTCGGACTTCAACGCCGCAAATCAACGTGATTGTTGCGTCCTAATGTTTGTTCCAATCCTCCCGTGGTTGGGTTCTCGTTTTTTCAGAGCAGTGTGGGCCCCACCTCGTTACTTCATCCCGCCTCCCTCCTCCCTCCTCCCCGCCTCCCCTTCGTCCACTCCCTGCCCACGCTCTCGTTCCTGTTTAGTCGTCCTCTCCCTCGTCGAGACCTCGCGGGCCCTGCGGGGCTGCGAACCGCGCAATTGTGGCCGCTTTGGTGGGCTCCTGAGAGGTCCAGCGGAGTGGAGGTCCACGCAGATCTGCCGAGACCTCGCGGGTTCCCTGCGGGGTTGCGAACCGCGCAATTCTCGCAATTTTCAAGGGCTCCTGGGAGATCCATTTGAGTGGAGGTCCACGCAGATCTGCCGAGACCTCGCGGGTTCCCTGCGGGGTTGCGAAGCGCGCCCGCGCAATTGTCGCCATTTTCACGGGCTCCTGGGAGGCCCAGCGGAGTGGAGGTCCACGCAGATCTGCCGAGACCTCGCAGCTCCCTGCGGGGTTGGGATCCGCGCAACTATCGCCATTTTCAAGGGCTCCTGGGATGTCCAGCGGAATGGAGGTCCACGCAGATTTGCCGAGACTTCGCGGCGCTTTGGGTTGCGAATCGCGCAATTGTCGCCATTTTCGTGGGCTCTTGGGAGGTCCAGCGGAATGGAGGTTCCACGCAGATTTGTCGAGATTTCGCGGTTCCCTGCAGGGTTGCGGACTGCGCGATTGTCGCCATTTTCGTTGCTCGTTGGGGGTCCGGCGGCGTGTCGCCATTTTCGCTGGCTTCTGGGAGGCTCAGGGGAGTGGAGGTCCACGCAGACCCAGCCTAGGCCTCGCGGGCCCTTGGGGGCTGCGAATCGTCGCCCATGTCGTGGGCTCCTGGGAGGTCCAGCGGAGTGGAGGTCCACATGTACCCAGGCTAGACCTCGCGGCTCCTCGGGGGGCTGCGAAGTGCGCGTTCTGTCATCATGTTCGTTTGTATTGAGCGGTCCTTAAGCACAGCTGCCCCGTGTTAGATTGTCCCAGTGCGACCCTACCTAGGAGTCTGAGCATCTAGGAAAGCAACATCTACATCTACACCGACAGCTACATCAACAGCTACACCTGCATCTACATCTATATCAACATCAACAGCGAGACTCAGATCTACACCTACATCTACACCTACATCTACATCTACATCTACATCTACATCTACATCTACATCTACATCTACACCTACACCTACATTTACATCTACATCTACATCTACATCTACATCTACAATGTCGCATTGGTTTTGTTGTTGCGTTGCATTGCCTTGTCTTTGCTCTTGCTTTTGATTTTGCTGTTGTTTTTGCTTTGATGATGTTTTTGCTTTTGTTTGATTTTGCTTTTGCTTTGCCTTCGCACAGACACACACACACACACACACGCATGTTTTCGCATTCGGTCACCGGGTGTGTTTGAGAATGCTCCGTATCCGGTCTACTACCGCACGATTTGGCCATCTTGGGCGCCTCTTGGGCCGTCTTGGGACGTTTTTGGCACGTTTTGGGGGGCCTCTTGGGAGCCTCTTTGGCCGTCTTGAGGCGGTCTTTGGGGCGTCTTGGACCGTCGTCAACGCTGTGAAAACCGAGAGGCCGTGTATGGCGAAAATGTATGTTTTCTATAGGGAATCAATGATTTTGGTCTCCTGGTGGCCTCTTGAGACGCCTCTTGGGAGCCTCTTGGGGCTTCTTGGGGAGCTCTTGGGGCCTCCTGGGAGCGTCTTGGGGCGAAAAGCTAGATTTTTCGGTTCGTCCTGGGGCGGTTTTGGAGGCTGCGAGCTGCGAGCTGCGAGGCGCGACCCGCGAGCTGCGAGGCGCTAGCCGCTCGCTCACTCACGGCGCCGGCGCTTGTGCGGCCCCTCGTCCTCGTCGTCGCCGATGTCCTCCCTCTCCGTCGCGTTCCTAAGCAACGCTAAGCTAAGGGGACGCGACTGGGGGAACCGCGGGGCGGATGCCGGGGGAACCGCCCGGGGCGGGTAGCACTGCCCGGTCCCTTTAAGCTCTAAAGTAAGAACCCTTCTAGGCAGAGCCTAGGTAGGGAAAAAGGCTTGGGTACGTCACCGGGTAATATTTCAATTTGTGCCAGAGCACCATTCATGGGACTTCAACGTCCAGAGTCAACGTGGCCGCTCGTCCTGACAGTCCTAAATCTTGCCAGAACACCATTCCTGGGATGCTGGGGGCCAAGCTCACGAACCTTCAGAACTACTGTAATTTTTAGGACGTATGTGGGGAGCCACATTTTGAAAACGAGCCGCCTTCCATCTTTGAAACGAATGCAACCTTCAGAATGCGCGCGGCGCTGAGGCGAGAGCCACATTTTGAAAAGGACCCACCCTTCCACCTTTAAAACTGCTCCAACCGTTGAAGACGAACGCGCGCTGTGCTAGCACGAGAGCCACATTTGGAAAACTAGTCACCTTCCATTCTTGAGATTGCTGCAAATGTTTAAGACGAATGTGTGCGGCGCTGGGGCGAGAGCCACATTTTGAAAGGGACCCATTTTCCATCCTTGAAACTGCTGCAAGCTTGTAAGACGAATTTGCGCGGCGCGAAGGCGAGAGCTGAAGGTTGAACACCACCTGCCCTCCATCTTTAACTGTTGATAGTTTCAGGCCTCAGAATCACTAGTGGTGAGGAAGTCTCACACAAACGCCCGGCCCGACTTACCGACACGTTTCGGGGTGCGACGGGGACGAGCCTTTTCTATAAGGGAAATGGACGGGGAGGACTGCTGGTGTGACCCTTATGGCACCTGCGATGGACAGCCCGCCCAGCGGCGCGCGCCACCCGCCCGTCCCATCTGATCTCGCTCAGGGATCTTAGGTGGATCAGCCGCGGCACGCCTACGGATCACCAGCGATTCATCGTTGGGCCGCGGCACCGCCGTAGGCGGAGGGTTTTGCCAGCGCGCAAGCATTCGAACGAGCAGGACAGTGAGCGCCGTCCCCAAATGGGCCCTCGATCCATCCCGCGTTCACCGCCCAGCCGTACCCGCTCTTGGCCAGGAACGCCGAGTTCGCGCCCCACACGGAGGCGCAGATGCCAGAATCGACAAACTTGGCCCCATCGTGCAAATTCAGCTCTGTCTCTCAAGGCCTCTCCGCGGTGTGCACTGCGCTCTCGGCGCCCTGGGAGGGCCTCATGGCAGGCACAGCTCCTGATCGCCATGACCTTCCGCGTGGGCGTCCGTCTCTTCTCACAGGAGTGTTGAGATCCTGACCGCCGCCAGAGCTTCGCCCAAAGTAGCGAAGAGGCAGCCCAGGCGGTGGATTAGTTGCCAGTGCGCCTGAAGCGCGGAGCGAAAGCAGCGGCCTCGCATGGCAAACGTGGCCTCCCTGGTGCCTGTGGGCCAGACAGCGCTGGCCCGCAGGTATGCCTTTTCATCTTGGGACTGGGCCTCCCCGGCGGCAGGACGCCTCGAGAGGGTGATCGTCCGCCCCCCTCCTTAATCCGTCGTCCTTTCCCTCTTGCATGAAACGTTTTAGCTATAGGTACGTCAAAATCTGGGTCCCATTCTCGTTGTTTGTTGCCCCAGGCGCGCACGGCAGGCGACTGCTGACCATTCAGGTGCCTCGCCGTTCTGGTCGGCCGTTCTGTTCAGTTTTGACACAATCGCCAATTCACAACCAGTTGGTTTTGCCCTGCCATGTGTATCCATGGGCATTGTAGCGTACCGTTTTGCAACATGCGATGGGCATTGCGACTCGTGGAGTTTGCTGGCTGTGAGCTTGTCTCGCCTTTGCCGATATCCGGTTTAAGCTAGTCGTTTCGCCATTATTTCGTTTTCCTTGGTAGTTCTCCCCGTGAAGGCAAAGTACGCGATGCCGCGAGGGATTCCCGCACACCAGGGTTGTTTCCCCGACTTTGCGCGGAGGGGGTCCCATTTAGTATCCGGTTGGGGGTGTCTGGGGGGGTACCCCCCGAAATTTGGTCCCGACCATGGGGGGAACGCCAGCAGAAGCAGGCCGAGGTTCGGCACGACTCTTGCAGACGTGTTTCTGGGCGGCAAGGGCGGCTCCAAGAGGACCAGGAGTCGCCGACTGCTCGGTCCAGACCGTCCACGACGGCCTCTAGACGGCCTGCGCTACTTCCACTTGCGCCCTTCCGGGTGCCATGCGGCGCCTGGAGAGGGCGGGGCCGCTTCTCCCAAGGGGCCCTGCCGCCTGCAGCGTCATCTCTGCCTGCGATGACCCGGCCCGCTTCGCCCTTGCTGCCGCTGGCGACCTCGGAGAATCCCTGCAATGACACCGCCCCCGCCTCCGGCACGGAGATGACCCTCGCCGCGGAGATTTTCGCCAGCATGCAGTGGCACGACACGCGGTTTCACGACGCAGTGTGGCACCACGAGGTTAACGACGAGGAGGACCACGAGGAGGGCTATAAAGGTGCCCAGGCCCAGGACAACTCCCTATCTGAGCGTCTCCTCGGGGAGGCATCACGGCGGGGCATGACACCATCGTCCAGCTGAAGATCAAAGACCACCAGGACATTGGGAACCGCTTGGAGTTACGTAACTATCAGGACATCGACATCCAGCGGGAGTTCATTGGCCACTTGGACATCGGTGACCAGCTGGGGATCCTCATCCACCATGACACCAGCGACCAGCTGGGAGCCATTGACCACAAGGACGTCGGAGAGCGGTTGGATGGCTCCGAGTAAGATCTCAGGAACCTCAGGGACAAGGGTCTCGACGCTAAGCAGTTTGATGCCATCATCTCCAGCGGTACTCACATGAGCAATACCGTCACAGGCAATACCGACACCGGCACCGACGACGGCTCCGACGTTAGCATCCCCATCGCCAGCAACGACGACGGCATCCACACCGACACCAACATCAACACCAGCACCGACTCCGAGGACAGTTTGCCGGCAGGGCTGATCGACGCTTACGTTCAGGTGCACCACGGCCCGCACACCAGCAACGTACAGTTCCAACGCGACCAGCGGAACAGCGACACGCTGTACGGCATGGGCGACCAGCAGCATTACGACGATCACCACCACGACCAGCAGCGCCGCCAGGACAACAACCAGCAGCTTTCCCACGAGAAGTTGCCTCCCCATGACAGTGACCCACTCGGTGTCCCACTCAACAGTGACCACGACACTGATCTCGACTCCGATTCCTCCTACCTCAACCACGCCCACCTCCTCCACGACCAACCCGGGCTCGACGACCGTGTCGGCACCAACAAGACGACCTACATGACCGCAACCCCGACTCCGACCACGGCCAGCGCGCAACAACCCAGCGAGCAGCACGCCGACAACCAAGAGTGCAACGACCAGTCATACATGCAGGTCTTTGTTGTGACGGTCACGGGGAAGACCATCGCTCTCGACGTAATGTCTTGCGATACGATCGGCCAAGTCAAGGGAAGCATCCAAGACAAGAAGGACACTTCTCCGGATCAACAGCGTTTGATGTACGCCGGACGGCAATTGAAGGACGGCCAGACGCTCAGAGCTTTACGCCATACAGATGTACACGCTCCGCCTCGAGGGTGCGGGGCCGGCCACTCTACTCACGGGGCTCCAAGAACCAGCTTCGCTACATGACGCGAGCGGGTCTACTGGGAATCCCCCCTCGCAAGGGATGATCGGGAATGCCACGGAAGGTACGGGACTTTCCCAGGGCCTCGAGGACATGCAGCTTGCCCCCACACCCGAATCTCCAACCGCACCGCCTGGACTGCCCATTCCGGAAAAAACCAGGCCGGCAGCAGCAATGCTGGCCGCATTTGCCATGGATGGCGCCCCAACGGTGAGCAGTGCAATGTTCACGCCATACGAGCAGCAAGTCAGGAATCTATTGGAAGACCACCTTCTGCTCCTCGCTGGCAACATTTCGGCTTCACGTTCGACCCAATGGCAGAAAACGGACCCCCAGCTTGGGTCCATACTCGTGTCGGAGGAGGGATTACTACAGGGGCTATGCGCCGTTGGATTCAAGGTGGACCACCACTTACCATGGAAACTGCTTCGGATTTGTTGGGGTCACGGGCCTCTACCAGACGCTGTTCTCATAGAGGCGCTGGTGCATCTCGCTGTTACCCTACTGGAGGCCGTCAGCTGCCGGCATCGCGGCACTGAGCTGGAGAAGAAGTGTTGGAGTTGGATGACGAGTCTACGAGACGACGGACTGGAATGTGTTAATCTCCTCCCTACCTTGAGCGAAAGCCGTAAAAAACACCTGGTCAAGTTCCCCGGCACCGGGAGATGGAAAAGCAATGTCTGGACGCGATCAGCTCGCATGTGCCCGCTGGGGAGAATGTAATCGTGACGCTACAGCGCTCCAACCACCAACAGCTGGACTTCAGTAGCACGACGAACGTATTATCGACGGTGGACGCGCGGGATCTTCACGAGACGTTGCACAAGGACCCACAACGAGGTGCCGCAAAGCTCCGACATGGGGGCCCCGCGCATTGGCTATGTTGGCCCCCAACGACTCGGCGCTACTAGGACGAGCAATGGCGTCGATCAAGGAGGCCAGGAAGGTGGAGCCAAGGATCAAGATGCCCCTCTTTACTACTCGTCCCATTCTCCCTGGGAGTATCTCTTCGAGCGCAATATGCGACTACTGGGCACCACCGTTGCTCTCGGGGGACCACCAGCGCAAAGTAGAGCGCATAGTGTTTATCGAGCCGCCTATTCGGATGGTGGTCGACGGGGCTTACGGCCCCCGGGTCTCGGAAAAACACTTAGCCGTGATCACCGTGGGAGGGGGCAGCGACGAGCTCCCCACCCCAACTATTTCATATTGGATTGAAGCACCGACATAGATTTCACCATCCGACGCGCTCGCCCTCGATTTCCCATCGAGGACCACGAAGCCATCAACGACACCGTCAATACCTTCGAGAGCGAGTCGATTTTGCATTGGAGCCGGCCTACGGGCAGCCCCTCTGACCATGACTTCCGTCTGGCAATTTATGGCTACACGCGTGCCGGCATGGACAAGTTGGAGGTAGCCGTCTTTGCGCGACGACTTCGACAACACATCAGTCAGGTGCAGCACGCAGTGATAGGCCACACGTCCATGTTGGAGGACCCCGCGGCGTTTTTGGTGACTACACTACGCGGCGGCTCTCACGGCGTACCCTGACTTCTACGACCAAGTTATATTGTTTACGAGCCGGCGGGGCGCAATAATTACGAACACCGATAAAACAAGATGGGAACGATTGCTATTCCAACAAGGGGAAATAAACACCGACGACCGCATCAAACAAGTGAGTTGGAGACGGAGTACAAGAGGAGGTCGGCCATGGGTTTGTCCCCAATTGCTCGTTCCCGCCCAGGTAGCCTCCCTACGAGGGGACTGGGATGGACAAACTGGCCCGATTCGGAATACCATGCACGTGCAGATCCAAGGCGACATCGGCAGTGACCCGGCTCCGTGGATGGGACACCTATTGTCCAAGGTGACCGCCGCCATTTCAGGAGCGTGGACGAGTGTATCCATGGGTACCGAGCTTCAAGCGTGTCAACTTGGACCTATCCCCAGCTCCGACAGCCACTGGAATGCGGCGTATTGGTTATAGCTCCGACTCCAGCGAGTACCTGTGCAATCGCATTTGTGCTGAACGCCTGTTGCATCAGGGGTGTGACTGGTACCCACAGGGTAGGGGTCAGGGTCAGCCATGACTACACGGACACGGGATGCGGCAACCGGGCGGCGGGAAACGGGTCGCGCGGGTCTCGCGGAGCCGGACGCCCCCCGCCACATCGATGAGAGGCTCCGCGCCGAGGCGTGGCTCCGACAGGAGACTCTTGTCCCCTGCCCCCGCCCCTCCGCCCATCTCCTCCGCTTCCGCCCCTCTATGAGCCCGCCCCCGCATCTCCCCCATGTGCCGCCCCACCATCCCCCCCCCCGCCCCGGCACTGCAGACGCTATTGTGTCGGGAGTTGTCTCGACGTCTGGTGGCACTCCACCATGGGGCAATCGCACCACTAATTGGGAGACCGCTTCCAGTATGCAGAACGTGGAATACTGTTGCGTGGTGCATGGCGGAGAGTTCCCGACTGTGCAAACCAGAGCACAACTACCCCGCTTCCCTCTCCCCAGACGACCCCCCAGGCGACCCTCGGCAAACTTGGTTAACATTGCGACTTTGACGCCCGACACCGCACCGCCCTTCTGGGGGCCAGGCCGATCGACAGCAGCTGGTTCACATCCATCTCAACATCCATTTTCTGGAGAGTACAAGGGTGCTACGCGGAATGCCGCAGGGTTGTTAGCATATGATGTAGGGGTACAGCATGGAAAAACAAAACAACTATACACATTAATATAACATCATGACCATGTACACGTGCAGTAGACTCACAGTACATTTGGATCGTCTGCGGATTTCCGCGCCGACCAGCCGACTCCCGTGCCGACTAGATCGCGGCCTGCCACACCGATCGGCCTGCCGGCTGACTCATCGACCAGCTCACCGACTCCCGCACTGACCAGATCGCGGCCTGCCGCACCGACCAGCTTGCCCGCTGCCTCGTCGGCGGCGCTCCAGCAGGGCATCGCCGCCTCGCGTTGCGGTCTGCGCCGCCGCCGACCCACGGCAGCCAACCCAGGGGCCTTCACCGTTCCCGTTGCGCCGCACGCGGAGATGAAGGCCAGCGTGGAGACCTCTGTCAAGAAGGCGGGGTACAACCGAGGCCCCGACTCCAGCAACATCGTCGCTGGCACCGACTCCATCACCGACGCTAGTAGCACCGACACCAGCACCGACGCCTGCACCGATTGCAGTGGTGGCACCAGCGGCGTCACCAGCGTCGTGAACGAGGACACCAAAGACCAACATAAGAAAGAGGAGGATAAGGATCACGATGAAGACGAGGAGCACGACTACGAGGAGAAGGACGATGACGGGGTCCAGGACGAAAAAAAAAAATCGACCAGCTCACCGACTCCCGTACCGACCGGATCGCGGCCTGCGGCACCGGCTCCCTCCTCGACCAGTTCACCGATTTTGGTGCCGACCAGCTCGCCGACTCCCGCGCCGACCAGCTCACCGACTCCTGCATGGGCCAGCCGACTCCCGCGCCGACCAGATCGCGGCCTGCCACACCGAGCAGATTGCCGGCTCCCTCCTCGACCAGAGCGTTTCGTCTCAACCATCGAAGAAAGCACCGTCGCACCATAATCAACGTGCCAAAACCGAATCCGCCACACGCCGAGATCAAGACCCAGACCATGAGGATAACCACCTGGAAAAAAACAACGGCGTTTTGTCGCACGAGTGGTTCGTCGGCGGCTTGTAGCAAGAATGATTCGTATGATGAACACGTTTATCCTGCGAGGTCACCTACGCATGCTGATTGGTGACTGTGCCAGTGCGCCAGGAATAGGAGAGAGGGCGTGACCTATCGGGGACCCCACCACCAGCGATGTGAAGTTACAGCGCGGTACGCTGCACAACGATGGTGCCGACCTGCTCGCCGACTCCCGCGCCGACCAGCTCACCGACTCCTGCATCGTCCAGCCGACCCCCGCGCCGACCAGATCGCGGCCGGCCGCACCGATCAGCCTGTCGGCTGACTAATCGACCAGCTCACCGACTCCCGCGCCGACCAGATCGCGGCCTGCCGCACCGACCACGTTATGTTCTCCCTCATCTGCCAGCTCACCAGCTCCCCGACTCCCGCACCGGCCAGTTCGCGGCCTTCCGCACCGACCAGCATGCAGGCCCCCTCATCGGCCAGCTCACCGACTCCCGCCCCGACCAGATCGCGGCCTGTCGCACCGATCAGCCTGCTCGCTCCCTCATCGACCAGCTCACCGACTCCCACACCGACCGGATCGCGGCCTGCGGCACTGACCAACTTGCCGGCTCCCTCTTCGACCAGCTCACCGACTACGGTGCCGACCATCTCGCCGACTCTGGTGCCGACCAGTTCACCGACTCTTGCATCGACCAGCCGACTCCCGCACCGACCAGTTCGCGGCTTGCCGCACCGAGCAGCTTGCTGGCTCCCTCCGCGACCAGCTCACCGACTCCCGCGCCGACCAGATCGCGGCCTGCCGCACCGACCACGTTATCTGCTCCTTCATCGGCCAGTTCAAGAGCTCACCGACTCCGGCGCATACCTGATCGCGACTTGCCGCACCGACCAGCTTTCAGGCTGCCTCGTCGATCAGCTCTCGAACTCCGGTCCCGACCGGATCGCGCTTGCAGCACCGCCCAGCTTGCCGGCTCCCTCATCGACCAGCTCACCGACTCCCGCACTGACCAGATCGCGGCCTGCCGCACCGATCAGCCGTTCCTCCTCCTCCTCCTCGTCCTTATGAATTGGGTCTTCGGGCTACCGAATGTATGGGCCAAGCCCCTTTACGGCCGCTGGCGGCCGATCCCAGCCGTTGCGCTGGGCTTGCCCGCCCGCGGCCTAGGTGGGCCCATGCGTCATGCGTGGCGCGATGCCGCCACGCAGCGACACCAGATCTAGCCTTCACTTGTCCAGATCCAGACTGCCTACCTGTAAGCTGTGGGTGTGCTCGGCCGCCCTTCGCCTCCTTCTCGCCCTCCTCCTCTCTGTCCTCAGCTCGTGTGGGACCCGCGCGTGCCGCTGTTGGCCTCCGCACCCACGAGCTCTCGTCCTTCGTGACGCTCGGTTGGATTTTGTGTACTATGCCGACTTGTTCGACCGGGCTTAGCGTAGCGTAGCCGGCAGTCTCGCCCCGTCCGTTCTCCGTGGCTGCTCTGCTCGTTTTTCTGTCTCGTCCTCTCTCTCTCTGCTTTCTTCCTTCGTGTTTCCCTCGTCCCCTCGCTGCGTGCTTCTCGTGCTTCTCCGCTGCCCCTTGCTTGCCGTCCGGTGTCTCCCCCGCTTTCTCTCCTTCTTTTAGCGTGTGTGCTCTTGGCAAAGTATCGTGTGACATTCCCGGGTTGCCCGGTGGTCTTCTGTCTCACACTGTGGAGCCATTTGTGCATGAGGTCTTGAGGTGGAACAAAACGACGGCCTCTAGACGGCCCACAAATCCCCGAAGATTACACGAAGCCTCCAAGAGAGCCTCCAAGAAGGTTCCGAAAGGGGCAGAATTCATGTGTTCCCTAACGGTTTTTACATGTTTTTCGTGTCTCCGCCTTTTCGGCTTCCCGACGCCCCAAGACAGCCCAAGAGGCCCCACGGATCGCTCCAAGACGGCCGCAGAGACCCCCGAACGGGCGCCCAGATACCCCAAGAGGCCCCCAAGACGGCCCCAGAGGGCCCCAGGAACACCGAAAGAAGGGCCTCAGAGGCGGAGCGCGGACCGACGTTTCGAGCTTTCCGCCAGCAGATGCCCCCCGGAGAGCCCCCAAAGGCTCCACGAAGCCCCCACAGAGTCCCCAAGAAGGCTCGAGAGGCCCCCAAGAGGGCCCCAAGACTGCCCACGAGGGCCCCATGATGGCTGGAGACGCCACGACAAAGCGCCACAGCGTCAAGCGGACAACACGGGAACCAACATCATGCGCTCGCACGCCGTTTCGGCCGGCGGTGGGGCCCAAGCGGAGAACTATCCTGTCATCTTCATCACCCGCCTCCATGCTCGAGGTCTTCATCGCCGTCCGTACCGACAGCCTCCTCCAGACGCTTGTCCTCCCACCATTTCCCCTCCTTCCTCCTTCCTTTTCGCTCCTGAGAGACTCCCACAACGGCCCAAGAAGCCTCCAAGAAGTCCCAAGAAGACATTTCCGAAGTCACCGTGCCCGTCGTCGCTCTCTTGAATCAGAAGGAAGGTCTACTGCCCGTTTCCTCTGTCTATCCTTCTGCCTCTCCCCCCCTCGTGTTTCTACCCTCCTCCATCGTCTCGCTTCCGAGCTGTCTCGGTCCTTCTCCCACTGTGTCCTGCACCCCGTCAGGGAGCCCCGATCAGGCTTCCAGTGGGAACCGCACTGGGCCGCCATGCTGGCGTCACCTTCCGTCAAGGTCGGGTTTCGTGGCAATATCAGGTTTATCATTTGCCAGTCTTCCGTCTTCCTCCTCTTCTATTTTGCCCCTCTTCGTCCCTTCTCCTCGAGCTTTGGTGCCACTTTATTGGTCGCGCTGCCTGGTGCCAGCTGCGACTGCGTAGATTTCCACTGAGTTCTTGCCTCCGTGGTGCGGTTCATGGTTCAGGCACCTGCTTCTTGATCGCGCGAGGGGGATCGCTCTCGTGAGGGGCAGTAGTTGTGTAGTTCATCTCGGGGCTCTAGCGCGCCACATTCCGGTGCGGCGCGCTGCGAGGGCCTCCCGAAGCGGGGCTCCCATTGGCCAAAACGGCGACAGAGAGAGGATGAGAAGAAGAATAGGATGAGGGAGCAGAGAGAGGAGAGCGGGGCGGAGGGAGCAGAGAGGAGCATGAGCTGGAGGTGAAGTCGCATAGAAAGGAAAGAGGGGGGTCAAACCTTGAGGTCACATCTTGGAGCGCTGCAATCACATGACAACTCTGCAGCCCTAAACGTCTTGCCTGATCGCTGTCCGATGTGCCCGCGGCACCAGGAAGGGGGGAAGGTGATAAGTGCATGTTGCACCTCTCTTGCGCTGCAAAATGCTGATGGATGTGGCTTAACCATCAGTTCTGAAGCGCGGGAAGGAAGGGCAACGGGAATGCCACGGGGGGGCGTCGTTGGACGATGCCCGACGGAAGCCCAGGTCAAAGAAGAGTGGTGCATGCCGTTCGACGTAGTTGAGATCTTGGATATCCCGGACTCTGAGTTCGGCAGCGCATCCGCGCCTTACATTTGCGAGAAGATGAAGATTGGCTCGCACAAGGACTGGCGCAATCGTTCAACATAGAGGAGCAGACAGGAGGTCGAGGATAGCCCATCTTGCGATTTTTTGGACAGTGTCAGCCTCAAGGCTTCTGGCTGTTTAAAGTTTCTATCTCTGGGCCTTTACTTTGTAACTGCCTGTCCGCAGTAACTCGGCACGGCCTCCAGGACATTGTTTGCTTGATTGCCAGGAGGCCTTCCAGCGCAGAGACTGAATACCTTTACAGAGTTGCATCCCGTGGTTTTGGCTGTGTAGCGCACGGCGGGGCGCTGTGGGCTCAAAAGCGCAAGCCTTCAGTTTGCGCTTTGACCGTTCCTTTTTCCCGGAAAGGGCTCGAGCCCAGGGTTCTCTTTTAGTTGGTTCCCCCCGGTTTCGACGGCTGTAGGGCCGGCGAAATGATTCTGCGATAAATTACGTGCGGGAGTAGGGCCGGCGGAATTATTCTCCGATAAATTACGTGGTAAAGTGTGAATTTGCACGTGGTCCCGAGCTGGAACCACGTGTTTTTACGTGTCCAGGCCACCCAGGGGGGGGTATCTGACACGGTGGTGTCGCGCTGGAACCACTTTTTTTCACGTGTCCAGGCCAGACATGGGGGTATCTAACATGGTGGTCCCGAGCTGGAACCACGTGTTTTTACTTGTTCAGGCCACCCAGGGGGGTATCTAACATGGTGGTCCCGAGCTGGAACTACGTGTTTTCACGTGTTCAGGCCACCCAGGGGGGTATCTATCACGGTGGTCCCGAGCTGGAACCACGTGTTTTCACGTGTTCAGGCCACCCAGGGGGGTATCTAATTCAGACTTTGTTGAGGATGTCTCGAGCGAAACGCTTGTTTCGTGTAATAGATTGTCCTCTCCTGGGGACCTGAATTCTGAGGATCTCTCAAGTGGATTGCTTGTTTTCACGTGCCCAGGTCTTGAGGATGTCTCGAGCGAGACGCTTGGTTTCACGCCTCCAGGTGGCCCAGACAGATGTCTAGCATGAGGATTTGTTGAGGATGTCTCGAACCAGAGGCTTGTTTTCACGTGTCCAGGTCGCCCAGGCGGATGTCTAGCATGAGCATTTGTTGAGGATGTCTCGAGCGAGACGCTTGTTTGCACGTGTCCAGGTTGCCCAGGCGGATGTCTAGCATGAGGATGTGCTGACAACGTCTTGAGCGAAACGCGTGTTTTCACGTGTCCAGGTCGCCCAGGCACAGCACAGCCCTCGGCACGGTACATCAATATCGATACTTTTAGCATTGCAGCCTGGCATGTTGCCTGGCACGTTCCGCGGAGCGTCCCGTGGCGAGTCCCCCTGGCACGTCGCGTGGTGCACGTCCATTGGCACGTTCCGTAGCGCGTCCCCTTGGCACGTCCCGCGGTGCGTGCCCATGGCACGTCCCTGGCACGTCGCCTGGCGCGTCCCTTGGGACGTTCCGCGGCGCGTCCTCTGGCATGTTCCCTCTGTCGATTAGTTCTGGGGCAGCTACCATCTGCTCAGGCAGCTCGAGCTTACGATCCAGATCAGTTCGGTGAGGACTCGGATGCCAGGGAGGACTCGATCCACAACGCTATATAGAGCACAATCGCGGCATGGCACATCGCAGTACAGCACGGCCCAGCACAGCACAGCCGTCGGCACGGTACATCAAGATCGATACACTCAACTATGCACCTTGGCACGTTCTTTGGCGCGTTCCGTGGCGAGTCCACCTGGCACGTCGCGCAGCGCGTCCCCTGGCACGTCCCTCGGCACGTCCATTGGCACGTTCCGTAGCGCGTTCCCTTGGCACGTCCCGCGGTGCGTCCCCATGGCACGTCCCTTGGCACGTCGCCTGGCGCGTCCCTTGGGACGTTCCGCGGCGCGTCCTCCTGGCATGTTCCCTCTGTCGATAGTTCTGGGACAGCTACCATCTGTTCAGGCAGCTCGAGCTTACGCTCCAGATCAGTTCGGTGAGGACTCGGATGCCAGGGAAGACTCGATCCACAACGCTATATATAGAGCACAATCGCGGCATGGCACATCGCAGTTCAGCACGGCGTAGCCTTGCACAGCCCTCGGCACAGTACATCATCATCGATACATTCAGCATTGCATGTGCCCGTCGCCCAATCAGGTGCCTTTGAAATGTTGCAATGCCTTACATTTCTATATTCCTTTCCGGGTTCGTGGGTCGATCATGTTGAAGTTCGCTCTTCGCCCTGCACCTTGGCTGGTTTAGCTTCACTTTATGATTCCCCACGTGAGATGGGGGCGGGTTAGGGGAGGTTCATGGGGGGCGTGAAGCCCGCGGCTTCTCAGCCCCTCGACATGACAACAGCACTGTGTGAGTTGCGTGTGCTTGCGTTACTGTGTGCTGCTGTTCCGTAGTAGATGTGTTGCGCTGAAGCTTGGCTGATCGAGCTTGGTTTTAGGATTCCGAGCGTGAGGCGGGAGTGGCTTGCAGAGGTTCGGGGCGGGCGTGAAGCTTACAGCGCCCTCGTCCCCTTCATCAGAAATCAGCTTGTGTTTAGCGTTGCCGTTTGTTGTGCGTTGCGGAGTGACGTCTTGTTCGGGTTAGTTGGGGCCGAGCCGTCTTTGCGCGCTGCGAGCTGCGATTCTGTCGCCACGTGGGTAGTGTTCATGGGCGGTCCGGCGGGGTGGCGCCTTGTTCAGATCAGATGGGACTTCGCCGTCCCTGGGGGCTGCGATCTGCAACACTGTCGCCACTTTAGTAGGGCACCTGGGAGATGCAGTGGGGCGACGTATTGTTCAGATCAGATGGGACCTCTGCTCCCCTGGGTGCTGCGAGCTGCGAAGCTGACGCCACATTCGAGGGCCCTTGGGAGGTTCACCGGCGCGATGCATTATCCAGAACACATGTAGGCTCGCCGGCGTATGGGGCTACCAACTGCGACACCTTCGCCACGTCTGTGGGCTCCAGGGGGGTCTAGCGGTGTGGCATACTTAAAATGTAAGGTGAGACTTTGCCGTCCTTGGGGAATGCGAACAGCGAAATTGTCGCCACGTTGCTGGGTTCTTGGAGGGGCCAGCGGAGCGACGTCTTATTCAGATCAGATGAGACCTTGCCGTCCCTGGGGCCTGCGAGCGGCGAGCGCGTCTGCACGTTCATGGGCTCATGGGAGGTCCAGCACGGTGGCGCCTTGTTCAGATCAGATGGGACCTCGCCGTCCCTGGGTGCTGTGCACTGCGAATATGTCGCCACTTCCGCTGGCTCCTGGGAAGCGGAGCGACGCCTTATTGGTAACGCTTCGCGTATCCACACCAGCCAGTTCCGGCTCTTCAGCAAGGAGCTTCGTCCTCGGCGGTGCATGAGCTTGAGCTGCGGCGCATTTGTCCCTCTCCGCCGTGTTCTTTTCGCCTCGCCCCTCTCTCGCTTCGCCGCTCTTGCCCTCCTCGTGCGTTTGTTTGTTGCTCCCGACGCGTTGTTTTTTCGTGTCTCTTCTCGTTGCTCTTTCGCCCTCTTCCTCTGTTGTCTTCGCTCGTTCCTGCCTCTTCCGCGTTGCCGTTGTGCTTCGCCTGTTTATTTTCCTGCGCGTCGCTGGCGTCAATTGCGCTGTGCCTGACTTTCGCTTTACGACCCTTTGGACGGCGCGCAGCTGCTTGCGTCGCTCGCGAGCAGAAAAGATATCCACACCAGCCTACGCCTCCGCCCAACCCCCCGGGGGGCGGCGAGGTCCCGAGGTGGTACGCGTGTGACGTATCTCCTCTGGGCCTCCCAGGAGCCCACGAAAGTGGCGATAGTTGCGCAGATCGCAAGCCCCTCCAGGGGGCGGCGAGGTCCCGAGGTGGCCCGTGTGGGACCCACCTCCCATGGGCCTCCCAGGAGCCCGCGACAATGGCGACAGCTGCACATCGCATGCCCCCAGGGGGCGGCGAGGTCCCGAGGTGGTCCGCGTATGACGTACCTCCGCTGGGCCTCCCAGAAGCCCACGACAATGGCGACAGTTGCGCAGATTGCAAGCCCCCCAGGGGGCGACGAGGTCCCGAGGTGGTCCGCGTATGACGTACCTCCGCTGGGCCTCCCAGAAGCCCACGAAAGTGGCGACAGTTGCGCAGATCACAAGCCTCCCAGGGGGCGACGAAGTCCCGAGGTGGTCCGCGTGGGACCCACCTCCGCTGGGCCTCCCAGAAGCCAACGAAAATTGGCGACACCTGCGAAGATCACAGCCCCCCAGGGGCGGCGAGGTCCCGTGGTGATCTGCGTATGACGTGCCTCCGGTGGGTTTCCCAAAAGCCCACGAAAGTGGCGACAGTTGCGCAGATCGCAGCCCGACGGCACGAGACAAGAGGAGAGGGGAACACAGGAAACAGGAGAGAAGGAGGAGGGGAGGAGAGGGGAGGAGGAGGAAGGACGGGGCGACCACACTGTTCTATTCAAAACAAGAACCCAACGCAGGAGGATTGGGAATGAAAATGCATGTCTATCTTCTTTGGGGGCCCTCTTGGGGCTCCTCTTGGAGCCCCCCCGCGACCCCCCCAGGACCCCCCCCTCCCCAGCGGGGATTGGATCAAAAGGAGAGGGTTTCCTCTCGATTCGATTATGACGGTTTTCGAGTTCCGTTTGGCCCGGACACTTGAGAAGTTGGACACACGGACAGGGGAGGAGTGGCGACGGCGACGACGACGACGACGACGATTAGAACGGAAAAACCATTCACACACGCCGACAGGGTCGGCGGACTTTGTTGCAGTTTGTTTTGTGCTGCAGTTTTGCTGATACTTGTTCGGTTGGTTTCGTCCCGCTGCAGTTGGGCTGCCCGGTGTGGCTTCATCGGATGGAGTGATACTGGTCTGGCTCTTGTAAGTTCTGCCTAGCCTGGCTCGTATTGTTGGTCTCGCTGATGGCCCTGTTCTGGCGCGCATTCGCTTGCTTTGTCTCGCTGGCCTGGCTAGTTTTACCCTCTATCGCTACATTGGTTTGTCTGTTTCACTTGCCTGCCTCGCCTCCACCCTCCTCCGCCTCTACTACCTCCATGCGGCACCTGTCCGTAGACATTTTGGCACACGCCGTGTCCTTGTCGAGCTCGCCGCCGCTGGGTCCCTGGCCCGCCGCGGGCCTCCGATGGCGGCGGCGACGGATGGCCGCGCAGCGCTGGCTGCGGCCCGCGAGGCCGCGCTGGCAGTACATGGCGCTGCTGGCCTAACGCGGGGTGCGGCGGCGGCTCGCCTGCTGCGCTCCGCGGAGGGCATCGTGCGTGCCGCGGCGGCGATGCTCGAGGCCGAGCTTCGAGCTGCCCGTGCCGCGGCTGCAGGTCGTGATGGTGATGGCGACGGAGGCCCAGGCGTGCCACCTCGCGCTCCAGCGGCGGACGCCCCGACTGGTGGCCAGGGACCACGGCGGAGGCGACGTCGCGCTCGGCGCCACCGAGCTTGCGGAGCGCAGGATGAGCCCATGGTGCTCGACAGCGCTGCTGGCTGCTGGTGTAGTTGGCGGCGGTGGTCTGGGGGTGGACGGCGGCAGCGACTTAGAGGACGACGCCTGGGCGGACACGGTGGTGTCGCGCCTTGCGCCCTTGGCCGCGGCTCTTGCTGGCGCTGCCTGGCGCCGCCGCTGGGGCGCTCCTCAGTCATGAGTCGCCTGGAGCTTCGCTGGGCGGCGAGGCGGGGAGCGCCGAAGCGCCCTGGCCCCTTAGCCTTGCGGCGCCTGCTGCTGCTCCTGGCGGAGCCGGCCGCTTGTTCGAGGAACTCATGACCGCCAGCTCCATGGAGAGCGCCTCCGATTTCCTCCGCCGCCGCTGCGGCGGCGACGAGGACCGCATGCGCGATTTCGTCGCGCTGATGGCCTGGGGGGCCGCGACGGGGGCGGCTGGCCGCGGGAAGAGTGGTACGCGGTTGTCCTGATCGGCGTGCACTGGGCCGATTCCTTCGGCCACTTCATGGGCCTCTGCTGAGGCGGCCCGCAGGCGCGGACGGCACCGTCCCGCCAGTGACTCGCCCATCATCCATGCGGCACTTTAGAGGGGGGCGTCGTGCGTCGACCGGCGGGGGTCTCACTCCGCGCTTGGCGGCGCCTCGGGGCGCCGTTAGGGCGCTCGGAATTCGGAATCGAGACAGCGCGGCGCGTCGCGAACGGCGACGCGGCTGCGTCCAATGAGCGGGGTCTCGCTCCGCGACTGCTGGCGCCTCGGAGCACTGGAGGGCGGAGTCTGCCAAGAAATGTGCACGGGGGCACACGGATCCGAGCTGAATCCCCAGGTCCCAGGAGGGGGTTCTTGTTATCAATCGCTTCGCTCATTCCGCTGGCCCTTCTTGTCGCACCTCTGTCAGTTTGGGGGTGCATTCCTGAGGGGGTCGCAGTTGCTGTGGATTTGGTTTCGGGGGTTCGTCGCAGATTCTGGCGGGGTTGTCCTGGGGCAGGTCTGGTCGGTGATTTATTCCCAACCCTCCTGTGGTGTTGGGTATTCGTTTTGATTAGAGCAGTGTGGTCTCCACCACCTACTCCTCTCCTCCTCCTCTCCTCCTCTCCTCCTTCTCTCCTGTCTCCTGTGTTCCCTTCTCCTCTTCTCTCGTGCCGTCTACGATCTGCGCAACTGTCGCCACTCTCGTAAGCTCCAGGGAGGCCCAGCGGAGGTGGATCCCACGCGGACCACCTTGGGACCTCGCCGCCCCCTGAGGGGGCTTGCGATCTGCGCAACTGTCGCCACTTTCGCGGGTACCTGGGAGGCCCAGCGGAGGTGGGTCCCACGCGGACCACTTCGGGACCTCGCCGCCCCTGGGGGGCTTGCGATCTGCGCAACTGTCGCCGTCGCCACTTTCGTGGGCTTCTGGGAGGCCCAGCGGAGGTGGGTCCCACGCGGACCACTTCGGGACCTCGCCGCCCCATGGGGGGCTTGCGATCTGCGCAAGTGTCGCAATTTTCATTAGCTCCTGGGAGGCCCGGCGGAGGTACGTCATACGCTGACCACCTCGGGACCTCGCCGCTCCCTGGGGGGCTTGCGATCTGCGCAACTGTCGCCACAGTCGCGGGCTCCTGCGAGGCCCAGCGGAGGTTGGTCCCACGCGGACCACCTCGGGACCTGCCGTCCCCTGGGGGGGCTTGCGATCTGCGCAACTGTCGCCAATTTCGCTGGTACCTGGGAGGCCCGGCGGAGGTGGGTCCCACGCGGACCACCTCGGGACCTCGCCGCCCCTTGGGGGGCTTGCGATCTGCGCAACTGTCGCCACTTTCGTGGGCTCCTGCGAGGCCCAGCGGAGGTGGGTCCAACGCGGACCACCTCGGGACCTCGCCGCCCCCTGGGGGGCCAGCCTGGAGCCATCTTGAAGCCTCAGATGGCCATCGGAAGCGAAAAGACAAGAAAGCCAAACACATTGATTGTCCTTAGGTTTTGGAAGGGTGTTGGCCTCTTCGGGGCCTGCTGGGGGAGCTTTTTGGCCACGTGGAGCCGTCTTGGAGCGGTTTCGGGGCCTTTTGGAGCATGCGGGAGCCATCTTGAGGCATCTTGGGATATCTTGAGCCATCGTGTGGGTCATCTTGGGTTCTTCCAGGCGCTGTTGGAGTCATCTTAAGCACAGTGCCCCCCCCCCCAGGAGAGGCCAACATCGGCCAAAACCTGGGTAAGATTATTGATTTGGGCATTTTCGCCGAGAGCTCTTGGAGCGTCTTGGGTGCCTCTGGGGGGCCTCTTGGAGCCTCTTGGGGGTCTCTTGGGAGCCTCTTGGGGGCATCCTAGTGGCCTCTTGGGGGCATCCTGGGGCCTCCTGGTCGCCTCTTGGGGCCCTCTTGAAGCACCTTTGGGAGCCTTGGGAGCGCTCTTAGGGCCATCTCGGAGGAGATCGATCAAAAAAGGGTGGTCCCTCAATTAGCGCTGCCCCCCCAAGAGGCCAACACGGGGCTAAAACAGTAAAACCAATGAGTTTGGCTTCCTCGCCGAGGTCGTTTTGGACGCTCCGACGACCCGCGAAACGCCCCTTCCAGGTCCAGGGGAGGGGGTAGGGGGAGGGGTCAAGACACCCTCGCCGCACGCAAGCCGTCTAGCTCACTCCCACCCGCCCTCCCACCACATAAGTGGCATCCGAGTCTCGGCATAGCCAGGAGTCGCCACTGGATGGACAGCCGCTGGGAACCAAAGCGGACGCCAGGTGCGCGACGCTCGCCGCGGGCTCCACGTGCGGTTGGTGTGCCATGCTTGCAAAAACCTGATGCCCCCCCGTCCGCATGGTCCAGATGCTGATGTGGGGGGCGTCAGCATTGTTCTGGGCCTGCTCACGGCAAGCACCATCATGCGGGCACCACCGCCGTCCCGGTCAACAAACAATGCAAAGTGATCGCGGGTGGCCAGCACAATACCCAAGACGTTGTCGCAACGTGCACATTGCATTGTTTCTGACACGGATGGTGGTCCTGCACAAAGCGGCTTCATTAAGGGTGCGCCGCCATCCCTGTTAAAAAACAATGCAACGAGCTCACAGGGCGCCAGCGTACTGTTCAGATTTTGCTGCAATGTGCACTTCGTATTGTTTTTGTCAGGGAATGTCGGGGGTGTTGGCAGGGTGGGCCCCGCAATGTGTATTTTGTATTGTTTTTTTGACAGGGATGGTGGGGGGGGCTCGCATGGCTCTGGGTTAGCAGCCGGCCAGGTGGGGGAGGGAGTGTTTATTAATAGAGAACAGTGATCAAACCTTCCCCGAAGGGGAAGAAGGGGGTGGAAGGGGAAACACCCTAAACCACCAACGCCCCGAAGGGCTGGTGGGATTCGTGTTCCTCCGATGGGGCTCCTCTTAGGGCTGTCTTGGGCTGTCCAGAGGGCCTCGTGGGCCGTCTTGGGGCCCTCTTGGGCCGTGCGGGGCCCATGTTGGGAGTGTGTTGGACCGTCTTGGGGCGATCTTGAAGGTCTCGTGGGCCGTGTTGGACGCGCTGGACCTCGAAACGTCGTATAGGCGCAACATGTACGTTTTCTGAAGGGAATGGGACACTTGTTGCTTCTTGAGGCTCTCTAGAAGGGCATCTCGAGGCTCTCTTGGGGCTTCTTGGCGGCGTCTTCGGCCGTCTGGAGGACATCTTGGGCGTCTTGGGACGATCGTGCGGGTCGGCAAGCTGGAAAGTTCAATTCGAGCTCCCCCGATGGGGCCCCTCGTAGGGCTGTCTTGGGCTGTCCAGGGGGCCTCGTGGGCCGTCTTGGAGCCCTCTTGGGCAGTGTCCGGCCCATCTTGGGAGTCTGTTGGGCCGTCTTGGGGCGATCTTGAATGTCTCTTGGCCAGTGTTGGACGCGCTGGACCTCGAAACGTCGTGGATGGGCAAAATGTACGTTTACCAAAGGGAATTTGACATTTTTTGCTTGTTGACTCTCCAGGAGAGCCTTTTGAGGCTCTCTTGGGGCTTCTTGGCGGCGTCTTGGGCCGTCTGGCGGCGACCGAGGGCCCCTCGGACCGTCTGGAGCACGTCACGGGGCTGTCTTGGAGCGTTCCTGGGGCGCTCGAGAAAGCCTGGAAGGCAGCGCCGAGGAGGAAAGCCATCTCGGGGCCTCAGCTGGCCAGGACCTGTCCGGGTACTTTTTCGTTCGAGGGCGCCCAGGGGCCGCCCCACGCGGGCGAACTAGACAATTGTATACGTACCAGTTACCGGAGTTCTTAGCACGCCTCTGGCCCGTTGGGCCGGCGAATTACTGTGTCGCTTCCGCCTTATCTTCCTCTTTTCTTCCCTCCTCTCCGTTACGTTGTCACCGCGCACAGCTCACTCACGCGAACACTCACTCAGATTTAGGTTTACTCATACCCAGACTCATTCACACTCTGACCCACTAACACCCATACTTACTCAAACGCAGACTTACTGCCACTCAGACTCACTCACTCTCAGACTCACGCACACTCAGACCCACTCATACTCAGACTCACTCGCACTAAGATGCACTCACGCACAGATCACTCCCACGCCGACCCATTCTCACTCAGAATCACTCGCGGTCAGACTCGCAGATTGATTGTGGGGGTGTCTCGAGCGGTTTGCCTGCGCTGGCCTCTTAGACCTCTTTGTTTTCAGAGCAGATTCTGAGCGCGTCTCACGCGGGGCGCTGGCCTCAGCACCCCAATGGGGGAGCCGCCAGGGTTGTTTGCACGGCCCTGTTCGCGCCCAGGGTGCGGGGATTTTTGAGGCGGTCTGCTTGTTTGGGCCTCCCCTGATCCTTTTGCTTTCAGAGCAGATAGAGGATGGCTTCAGCACCCCAAGGGGGAGCCGCCAGGGTTGTCTGCACGGCTCCGTTCGCGCCCAGACTGTCGGGATTTGCAAGGCGGTTTGCCTGTGTTGGCCCCTCAGGCTCACTTGCTTTCAGAGCAGACTGAACGGATGTCTCAGGCGAGGAGCTCGCTTCAGCACCCCAGGGGGGAACTGCGAGGGTTGTTTGCGCGGCCCCGTTTGAGCCCAGATGATGTTGATGTCTTAGGCGGGTTGCTTGTTTTGGCCCTGCGTGTATATATATATATACACATCTATATACACACATACATATGCATATACATATACATATATATTTATATACACATATGTGTATGTATATATATTTATATATATGTATAGATCCCTCTCTCTCTCTGTCTATCCCTCTCTCTCTCTCTGTCTCTTTCGATGTGCATATCTACATTTCTATGTATATATATATACATATATATATACATATAGGGAGAGAGATGCTTTTACATATACACAAATAGTTATAAACACATATATATATATGTAGGCACACCGACATATATATATATATAGAGAGAGAGAGAGAGAGAGAGAGAGAGAGAGAGAGAAAGAGAGAGAGAGAGAGAGTGGAGAGAGAGAGAGAGAGAGGAATAGGCCGGGGGATGGCCCAGAACTGCGACCATTGGTTCGCATGGGGGGCCACGGGGGCCTTGAGGGCACCAAGAGGGGTTCAGAAGGGGCCCCAGATCCCCCCAGAGGCTCCCAAGCTGACCCAAGAGGCGCCCAAAGCGCCCCAGGTTGTCTGGAAGGTGGCTGAAGAGCGCACTGAGATGGCTTCCAGACGGGTCACGAGCGCTCGAAGACAGCCCAAGATTGCTCCTAGACGGCCACAAAGGCATTCAAGACGGTCCAAGAGGCCGCCGAGAAGGCCCTCCTCAAGAATCAAGCATTTCCGATAGAAACAACGTATATTTCCTGGAGATTTGCTTTTCAGCCCTACCAGCGGCCGTGACGGCCCCCAGACGGCCTGACGAGAGCTTCAAGCAGCACAAGAGAGCTCCAACACGGCCCAAGAGAGCCCCCAGGAACCCTGAGGGGGCCACCGGAGGATCCCTACATGGAGAGGGCCCCCCGAGGGTCCCAAGACGGGCTCATGTCCCCATGACGGGAGAAGAGGGACCGGAACGGCCGAACTGGGCAGAAGGTCAAAAAACAAATGCCTACCAGGACTCCCTGAAGACGGTCCAGGAGGCCGCTGAGAAGGCTCCCCGGTGCAAAAAACGAGCATTTCCCATTGGAAAATGCACATTTCTATGATAGTCGCTTCTTGCGTTCCATCGGCTGCCACGTCGGCCCCAAAGGCTCCCTAAATCGGCGCCACACGGTCCACGAGGCCCCCAAGAGGGCCCCAAGACAGCCCCAAGAGAGCGTCGAGAGCAGCACGAGGAAGTTCAATTTATCCTGCGACGTACCCAACCCTGTCTACACAAGTGAGAATTGTATTCAGGACCATTCAAGACCGAAGGACATTTCGGCGCCATGGTATAGCGGTGATCTGCGTAGGACGTACCTCCGCTGAGCCTCCCAGAAGCCCATGCGCGCCAGGTGAGCCAAGCGCGCCAGGCGCGCCAGGTGCGCCAGGTGCGCCAGGTGCGCCAGGTGCGCCAGGTGCGCCAGGTGCGCCAGGTGCGCCAGGTGCGCCAGGCGCGCCAGGCGCGCCAGGTGCGCCAGATGCGCCAGGCGGGCCAGGTGCGCCAAGTGCGCGCCAGGTGTGCGCCAGGTGTGCGCCAGGTACGCCAAGTGCGCCAGGCGCGCCAAGTGCGCCAGGTGCGCCAGGTACGCAAGCGCCAGGTGCGCCAGGCGGGTGCGCCAGGCGCGCCAAGTGAGCCAGGTGCGCCAGGTGTGCGCCAGGTGTGCGCCAGGTGCGCCTAGCGCGCCAGGTGCGCCAGGTGCGCCAGGTGCGCCAGGTGTGCCAGGTGCGCCAGGTGCGCCTGATGCGCAAGGTGCGCAAGGTGCGCCAGGTGTCCGCCAGGTGCGCGCCAGGCGCGCCAGGTCCGCCAGGTGCGCCAGTTGCGCCAGGCGCGCCAGTTGCGCCAGTTGCGCCATGCGCGCCAGGTGCGCCAGGTGCGCCAGGTGTGCGCCAGGTGCGCCCAGCGCGCCAGGTGCGACAGGTGCGCGCCAGGTGCTCCCAGCGCGCCAGGTGCGCCAGGTGCGCCCAGCGCGTCAGGTGCGCGCCAGGTGCGCGCCAGGCGCGCGCCAGGTGCGCAACTTGCGCCAGGTGTGCGCCACGTGTGCGCCAGGTCCGCGCCAGGTCCACGCCAGGTGCGCCAGTTGCGCCAGGTGTGCCAGGTGCGCCAGTTGCGCCAGGCGCGCCAAGTGAGCCAGGTGCGCCATGTGCGCCAGGTGCGACAGGTGCGACAGGTGCGCCAGGTGCGACAGGCGGGCCAGGTGCGCCAGGTCTGCGCTAGGTGTGGCAGGTGCGCCAGGTGCGCCCAGCGCGCCAGGTGCGCCAGGTGCGCCGGATGCACCAGGTGTGAGGCGCGCCAGGTGCGCCAGGTGTGGCAGGTGCGCCAGGTGCGCCCAGCGCGCCAGGTGCGCCAGGTGCGCGCCAGGTGCGCGCCAGGTGCGCGCCAGGTGCGCGCCAGGTGCGCCAGGTGCGCCAGGTGCGCCAGGTGCGCCAGGTGCGTCAGGTGCGCCAGGTGCGCGCCAGGTGCGCCCAGCGCGTCAGGTGCGCCCAGCGCGCCAGGCGCGCGCCGGGTGCGCGCCAGGTGCGCCAAGGGGACAAGGAGGCCCCAAAGTGGTCCGCGTATGACGCACCTCCGCTGGGCCTCCCAGGAGCCCACGAAAGTGGCGACAGTTGCGCAGATCGCAGCGCCCCAAGGGACAGGGAGGCCTCAAAGTGATTTGCGTATGACGCACCTCCGCCGGGCCTCCCAGGAGCCCACGAAAATGGCGACAGTTGCGCAGATCGCAGCCCCCCAAGGGACAGGGAGGCCTCAAAGTGATCTGCGTATGACGCACGTCCGCTGGGCTTCCCCAGGAGCCCACGAAAGTGGCGACAGTTGCGCAGATCGCAGCCCCGCAGGGGACAGGGAGGCCTGACAGTGATCTGCGTATGACGCACCTCCGCTGGGCCTCCCAGGAGCCCACGAAATGGCGACAGTTGCGCAGATCGCAGCCCTGCAGGGGACAGCCAGGAAGGAGCCCACGAAAGTGGCGGCAGTTGCGCAGATCGCAGCCCCGCAGGGCACCGCGAACACAGGAGAGAAGGAGGAGGAGAGGGCGGGAGGTGGATACCACAGTGCTCTATTCAAAACGAGTACCCGACACAGGGAGGGCCGGGACAAAAAAACAGCCCGAGAGAGACCCCAGGGGGCCCGAGGGAGGGGGCCACCAGCGGATCCCGACATGCTCGGAGAGGGCTCCATGAGGGCCCCCACACGGCTCAGCTACCCATGGCATGCCAAAAGGGGCTCGGGACAGCCGAAATGGGCTCCCAGACGGGCAATAAAAGACCCAAAAGGACCCCCTCACGACCGTCCAAGAGGCCGCTGAAAAAGGCCCTCCAAAGGCGAAACTCAAGCATTTCCGATTGGAAAATCGAATAGTTCGGGAGCTTCGCTTTTCAGTTTTACCAGCGGTCGCGATGGCCAAAGAGGTTACCAACATGGGCCCCAGACGGCCCCAGAGGCCCCAAAGAGGGTTCCAAGATGGATTGAAGAGAGCTTCACGCGGCACAGAAGAGCTACAAGACGGCCCAAGAGAGCCCCCAGGAAGCCCGAGGGGGCCACCAGAGGATTCCTGCGAGCGCGTGCGCAGAAGTGTTTGTTGATCGCGTCGTGTCGCCCCCTTTGTCTCCTGACATAGCCTTTGGCTCACGAGATCAACTGGCGAGCTGCGAGGCCGGCCGCCGGATGCTGAGCACGAGCGTGGCCCACTGGCAGTGGGCTGCGCTTGTGCTGCTGGCGAGCCTGTCAGAGGTTCGGCGACTGGGGCCCCGGCCCGAGAGGCCCGCGCCGCCTGCGCCGAAGGGGCCGAGTGCGCGCGAGATGATCGTGGTCGACACGGTCAGCGAGCTCGAGGCCTTGAGGGGCGGCGGAGCGCCGCCCCCTCCTGGCGGCGAATGCCCCAGCCAGCCCAGGCCGCAGGAGGATGGCTCGCGGGCCGTGCCCACGGAGTGCGTGCGCGAGTGCCCTGAGTGCGAGGCCCCGGGGAGCCAGTGGTTGGGCTGGCTGCTGGGCGGTGTGTCTGCGCTGCTGCAGTTTCGCGGCTGGTGGCAGAGGCGCGGTCTCGATGGCGCGAGTTCGGAGGTACGCTCGCCCGATGACGGAGACGGACGGCGTCGACACAGGAGAGGCCAGATTGCCTAGGCTCAGGCCTGTCCGGCTGGTTGCCGTGAAGTACGAGGGGAACCTGTCGCGGTACGAGCTGCAGCGGGCCGGGTCGAGCACTGAGGAGCTGAAGGGGCTGCTTGGCTGGAACTGGCGCGAGAAGGTACCCGACGGCGACGAGTACGAGAGAGCGCTGGGCGGCAGCCAGCCAGGCCCACGTCGGCTCCCCCTGTTTGGGCGGGGCGCTTCAGGCCCCCGCCTGCTGCAGGTCAAGTTCAACAGGTGCTCCGAGTACCCCGCGGACGAGCTGCGGGCGAGGAAGGCAACTGAGCACTTCCGCGCGGTGGCGCACGCGGGCACCCCGCAGCCGCCGCCGACGGACGCAGTGGACAGCACGGGGTCGGCGGAGGCGCGGCCTTTGGGAGCGTTAAAGAACACGGACGCCGCCCTGGCGCCGTCGGAGCCCGCCAGTAGCGCCACGGGAGCGGGCGCGCGACCGTCCAGGCGGGCGGCCGCTGGGAGCTGCTGGATCGGGCACGGCTGCGGGGGGCACGTCGCGATGGGCATCGAGGTTGAGCTGATCAAGGGCGAGGGCGACGGCGTGGGCGAACCGACGATGATGAGAGTGTGCGACGGCGGGCTTTCCGTGAAGCGCGCCCTGGCAATGCGCGGCGCGTTGGACAGCAGGTCCTCAGGTCTGCGGCAGCGCGGCGCCAAGAGGGCGCGGGGCAATAACGAGCTGAACGCCGCCCCCGCCCGGAGCTCCCGAGGGGGGGCCTGCGGGGAAGACGGCGGGAACGGCGACGAGTTTGAGAAAGCGGAGGGCGGCGCGGGGCGCGGCGGCGGCCGCGGGCGCGGCCGCCGCGAAGCCATGATGGGCCAGGAGGCCCGGGCGCGTGCTCCCGGCCCGGGCCGCGTTCGAGTGGGGGCAGGTCGCGCCGCGCCATCCTCGGGAAGCAGAGACGCGTTCCCTTTGCCGCTGGAGGCGGCCCCTCTGCGACCCGATCGGCGCGGCGGCAGGCGGCGAGCTGGTTGATAGCGCCCAGCGGGCGCTTAATTGGACGCATGGTTTCGAGCTCGGGCATGAGGCCCAGCTGGAACGTGACGATATGCAGCAGGACGTTAATCAGTACGCGCGCGGGCTGGCCAAGGGCGAGCAGCGCGCGTGCCGCGGTCTCGACGTCCCATCAGCGCAAGTGGCCCTACGGGAGTTGCTGCGCGGTCGATCCCTGTATGGCGCGGGGGCGGCCAACGACTCACTGGCGCCCTTTCAACGAGTCCGGCTGTCGCTTCCTGAGACCGCGGAGGGCTCCCCCTACATCGGCGACGTCTGCGGCTGACGGGGCCACTACTTCTCGGAGCGGGAGGGCGAGCGCATGCTTCAGCCCATCGGCGAGGCCGAGTCCGACCTCGCTCGCGACGGCACTCAGCGCCATTGCGATCCAGCTTTGGTGAGCCGCAAGACCGTGCACACTGCTTTTCTGAAGGACCTGATGGCGCGTGGCCTTCTCGACTTCACGCTGGGGCCGCTCGAGAGGGTAGGCATCTTCTGCGCGCGGAAGAAGGGCCGTGAACGCCAGCGACTTATTCCTGATGCCCGGCGCTCCAACCAACACTTCAGGCGGCCCCCAAGAGTGGATCTGATCACCGCGAAGGGCTTGAGCGGCATCGAGCTCGATCTGGACGCCCGCGAGAGACCTGAGAGCGAGCTGGTGGGCGAGCTGTGCGAGAGCTTGTCCATCACGGTGGGTGTAGCAGACGTGAAGGACGCCTTCCATCGCCTGTGATGCCCACCTTCTTGCGGCGCCACTTCTGCTTCACACCAGCTCGGAACGGAGCCCTGAGACTCGCTGGCAAGACGGTGGAAGGGCAGCTGCTGACGGGCAACGAGCAGGCGTGGACCTGTCCAGTGGCCTTCCCGATGGGTTTCTCGCGGAGCTTGTTACACTGCCAGGTGTCTGGAGAGGAGCTCGCAGGAAGCGTCGGGCCGCTGGGCGTGGACACTTTGCCGCGGAATCGCGGGCGGCCACTGGCGCTGGGCTGCGAGCGACAGGGGCCCCTCCGGCACTACGTCTACGTCGACGACATGGGCGCGCTGGGAACAGACGGGACCATGGTCGAGAAGTCGCTCGAAGACGGACCGACGCTTTCACCCGGAAGGGGCTACTGGTCCACGAGCAGGCCATCACTTTTGGGGTCACAGAGGTGCTGGGCGCGGAGGTCAACGGGCAGTTGATGCAGACGCGGGCGTCAGGCAAGAGGACGCCGCGGGCCCGGCAGGCGATTGCCGGGCCCCTCCAGCGCGGGCGCTACACAGGCAGCGCGCTGGAGGTGTTGCTGGGACAGTTCACCATCCCGGCAATGTCGCGGCGGCCTGTGCTCTCTTGTTTTCACGCCTGCTATGCCTTTGTTCAGAACAACTATCTTCACGTGAAACCTCTGCGGCCTAGTGTGAGTGATGAGCTTCGTGTCTTCTCTGGGCTGATCATTTCTCGCGCAGTGACTGGTCTCGACCTTGGAATCAGCTCGTAGTCGCATCCGACGCCTCGGAATACGGTTTCGGCGGGGCCGAGGCGCGGTGCCCCCTCGACCTGGGGCTGGAGACTGGACGGCGTCGCGAGAGGGACAGGTTTTTGGTGCCCGAAGCAGTGAACGCCCAAGCTTCAGCCTTTGGGGGGGGGATAACTAACGTCGAAGCGGTCTCCGAGGCCCTAGTGGGCCGTGCTGAGAGTTTGTTGTTAGGAGCTGGATGACCTAGGTTCAAGGGCGGCGCTGCCCCTGGGCGCCCGGGACCTCGACCCCGAGTTTTTGGAGGCGCTTCGGGTCGGTTTGCACCCGCAGTTGTGGAGCCCGGCTTTTGGGGGGCCCTGGCGCTGGACACAGGGAATCCTGCACCTCGAGGCCCGCGCCCTCGCGATGGACTTTCGCAGGATTGATCTTCTCACTTTTAGACGGAACATTCGCCAGTTTGTGTTGGTAGATAACATGGCGGTATGTTTGGCATTCGATAGATGTCGTGGGAGAGACTTCTGTTGCTGAATCAAATGCGTCGTTTCTGTAGCTACTGCCTCGCGAAGAACCTACACGCGGTTGCGCGGTGGATACTGTCAGAGCTCAACAGCGCCGACGGTCCTTCGCGAATTCGCGACCCTTTGAAGGGGGTAGTGCGCACGTCTCGGTGGAAGGGCCATTTCGAGGTTAATGGAGCGCAGGCCTGCGACAGGAGGTTCGTTCTGGATGAGGCTACTGTCCCCCCCTCTTCCTCGTCGCTGCCTGGTCGTCCACCACCGCTGAATCTCGTTGTCGTCTTGGCTCAAACTAGCGGGGCGTCTGCCCCTTCTGGCATCGATCGAGATTCTGGTGAGCCCATCCGCGCTGCAGACAGTGGGAGCGGCTCGTGGCTGGCCGCGTGGCGGGCTCGGGGCGCCGATGAGGCGCTGGACGCCGGCGGCGCTCTCCGCCGCTGCGTCGGCGAGGGCCGCGGGCCTCGCGGAGCGGAAGAGGGGGCTGAGCGCGGTCCGGCAGGCGGCGGAGCAGCCGAGGCCAGGGCTCGCGCGGCTGCCGTCAGGGGCTGGCCCCCCTCAGGGCCGGGGGGCGACCCAGAGGCCAGCCCGGCCGGTGCAGGAGACATCGCCGGTGCAAGAGCGGGCCCCCCTCGACGTGGCGCCGGCGGCAAACCGTCAACCAGGTTACCGCCAGGACCTTCGTAGAGCTCTTGACTCGCGAGGTAGTGCTCAGAATGCGACGAGAAAGCTTCCTTAAATATTTGCTTAAAGGCTAGAGGAATCTCTGTTCTCGGTTTGTGCGAAGTCGGTTCCGCCAAGTGTTTTGATTGTAATACTGAAGCTACGGGCCTGAGAATTCGACAGGCTGGCGCGCCATTACCTACAACAGGTGCAGAACATACTGGAGCTGTGTAGCTTGCCTTCTGTTTGAGTTAAGTTCACGAAGCCATTATCATCTGGAAAAATGCATCCCGACGGCCGACGGTAGCTCCAAATAAGCGGGGCCCCCTCGACACCCAACTCGTCGCAGCGTCAGGTTGGGGCGCTGCTCAGCGGGGCATCTCCAGCAGGACTGGGGCGACGTCCGAGGTCGCCGAGCTGGCGGTCGCAAGCAGAGAGCGAGCGCCACGCCAGCTTCGCAGGCAACGGGTGGTGAGCTACGTGTCGGAGGCCTGCGAGCTGCAGAACACAGGGAGCAGCCTGCTCGAACGGCAGGCCGTGCAGGAGACGACCCACGGGCGGTACCAGGCCGAGTCCAAGGGCCTGACCGACGCGGAGGTCGACGAATCGTTGGTGCGTCCGACCGAGCGGGTCTTCTCCTTAGAGAAGCGGGCCCGTCGCGGGGCTGGGCCGACGGCCGCGCGGAGGCACGCGGAGCCGCGGTTCGGGCAGCTCGGCGAACGCCGCGCCCCATGGGCCGGGAGAGCTCCCGAGGGTTGGCGGCAGCTGGCCCCCGCGAGGTCGCGTCGACCCGAGCTGCGCGGGCCCTGGGCTGGAATGGCCGACGAGATGGTGAGGCGCGGAGAGGCACACATGACGTTGTCCGCGTTGCTCTCAGTGATGGCTTGCCTGTGTCTAATTAGCCTCCTGGCGCTGGGGCTCGAGAGCTGCCTGGCGCCGTGGACAGCCCGCAGTGCCTGGGGCCTGCTGCTGCGCCCAGCGGAGAGGGCCGTGGCCGGCAAGGTGGGCGACGTCGAGCACCCGAGGGTGTTAGAGACAGCCCCATGGTTTCAATTCATTGGGCCTCTCCAGTGTATCTTGGGCGGCAGAGATCTCAAAAGGCGGTCTGGGGGTTCAGCTACTGGGAGTGTCGCAGGGCGATCGAGGAATGCGACACGGCGCTGGCAGTAAGGTTGGCGGCCCTCCAGACTCGACATTCGGGGCCATCGATTTACCGCGAGATCTAGCCTGAGCAGAGTGAAGCAGCGAAGAAGGGGGAGAGTGGACAGCAGCGTGAAGAGGTACGCAACACAGGCGCGGCTCTGTCACAGCGAGCTGCGGTTTGCCTCAAGCCTCTATCAGTGCCTGCAGGAGTGCGAACGACAGCTAGACGATGTCATCCCACGGGGCAACGTCGTAACGCTCTGCAGCTAGAGGGCACTCGAGGCCAGTGGTGCATAGATGTTTTCTCAGGGGCGGGCGGAGTGGCAAGGGCCATCCGCCGCCGGGGTAACGCTTGCAAACAGCTCGAGATAAAGAAAGTTTTGACGCATGGCATCGGCTCTCGCTGGCGAAGTTGTTTTCGGACGTCCGGGCTGGGAGAATCGCGGGTGCAATGATCGCATTGCCCTGCGCTTCTTTTTCAATAGCCCAGGCGGGGCGCCTCAGGTCGGAACTCCACCCACTGGGACTCCCAGGCTTACCCTCTCATTTGCAGGCCCGTGTCGATCACGGGAATGCCCTTCTCAAAGCTAGTGTGCAGCTCATTCGAACGTGCGTAGCCCATGGAGTCCTTTGGATCCTTGAGAATCCGGGTAGTTCGCACGCTTTTAAAACCCCGGCCTTTCGCGAATTGCTTGATTTAAAATGGTGTTTCGAGATAGTGTGTGACCAGTGCCAGTGCGGTACGCGGTGGAGGAAGAGGACGGAGTTTCTCGTAGGCAACATTTGCACAGATGATTGTAGTGGGCTAGTTAGGCAGTGTTGGGCCCGAGGAGGCCTGTTCCCCCGCGCGGGGAAAGCCCATTGGCACCTTTCAGGAAAGTCCGAGACGGGAATTCACTGGACCGCCATAGCCGCCGAATATTGTCGAACCCTGGCCCGCGACAAGGCCTTTGCCCTTTTAGCCCCTACCAGATCTAAGCTTCGGGGGTGCTGACTGTCTCCGCTCGGATATTTTGTCTCTTCCTCGTTGTTTTTTTCCGTGCCTGGTTTGCTCGCTTCCTAATCCTGTGAACATCTGGTTTGGGATGGTTCGGGACGACTGGCAGCGGCTGCGCGCATGCGCTGCCCGTGAGACTCGAAACGCATCCACCGCTGGGAGTGTGTGCGGAGAAATGTTTGTTGATCACGTCCTGTCGCTCCTATTGTCTCCTGACATAGCCTTTGGCTCGCGAGATCAACCGGCCCGCCCCCCCACCCTGTTTATATAAATAATATAAATAGTTATCTCTGTGCATCGGCCAAGACTGGTCTCACCGCGGGACGACTGGCAGCGGCTGCGCGTAGACATTGCCCGTGAGATTCGAGACGCATCCACCGCTGCGTGAGAAACTAAACATACATGGTCGGAGAGGGCCCCAGGAGGGCCCCAAGACGGGCTGAGCTCCCCACGACAAGCCAAAAGGGACCCGGAATGGCCGAAATGGGCCCTCAGCCGGGCCAACAAAGGCCCCAAAGGACTCCAAAGGAAGGCCCGGAGAGGCTCCAGCGACTGCCACAATGCTTCCAAAAAGGCTCCCAGCACGCGTTCCAGTAGGCACCCGCGCACTGGGTGCGTTGAGATAAGAGAGGAGGAGTTGGGCGAGGAGGAGGAGGAGGAGGAGGACGAGGACGAGGAGGAAGAGGGGGAGGAGGAGGAGGTGGGAGAGGAGGAGGAGGAGGAGGAGAAAGAGCAGGAGGAGGAGGAGGAGCACGAGGAAGAGGAGGAGGAGGAGGAGGAGGAGGACGAGGAGGAAGAGGAGGAAGAGGAGGAGGAGGAGGTGGGAGAGGAGGAGGAGGAGGAGAAAGAGCAGGAGGAGGAGGAGGAGGAGCACGAGGAAGAGGAGGAGGAGGAGGAGGAGGAGGAGGAGGTGTTAACATGCAAGCGTTCAGGTGACTGGGGAGGAATAGTAACCCTGTTGCCTTTGGCTCAAGTGTTTAACGGCTGAAGCTACCGAGACTTGCTTCGCCGTGCGGGAGTATAAAGGTGACCTATCATCATCATTGTTACCAGGCTCCCGTGCAGAACCCTCCTCGGGGTTTTGCATGGTAGCGGGGCGCGGTTGCCATGGCGGCGGCGGCGGCCGCTGCAGCTAGGCCCGGGCAGGGCGACCCGCCGGTCAACCTCAATGTGCCGGCAGACAGAGACGTATGGGTCAACATGGACCCCAACCGCTTCAACGACCTGTGTGAGCAAGCGTACCTGAGCGGAGACTTCAGTTACGTTCAGACAGCGTTACTCGCGAACCATTTCGGACTCGCAACGTTCATCAACGAGCGAGTGACACAGGACCGAAGGGAGGTATCGAACGCCGAGGCATTCCAAATGTTACAGAGTGCTCATAAGACCAACAGCATGTTGTTAGCGATTGCGAAAAGAAATGCTGCACTTGAAAGGGGCGCTCGCAGACTGGTGGAAAGAGTTACCGAGTTGGAGACCAACAGCGAGGCACAAGAAAAGTTGATTGAAAAATGTGGTCAGCTTTCAGAAGCAATTAAAGGAGGAAGTGGAAGCAAGCACGGGAGCGGTAAACCGATAAGCGAATATAAGGCATCACAGGCGTTAAAGAACTTCAGTGGAGAAAGAGCAAAGTTCAGAGACTGGAACGACAAGTTCTTAAACGCACTGGCCCAAGTAAAACCGAGTTACCGACCGGCGCTGGAAATGCTAAACAAGAAGTTGGAGACGCTCGACGGAGTTGTACCAGAGGAGGACGATGATGACATCATACGCATAATGAACGGCCGATTAACAGCGAGCGAATACTTGAAGGCGAATTCAGCTAAACAAGCGGAGGATGACAACAAAGGAGAGCACGAGTTCACCGAGGGAGACGAAACTCAAATGGAGGAAGACTTATGGTACATTCTCAACGAGAAGCTCGAAGGTGCAGACGCGAGAGGAAAATTAAAGGGACTTATGGATGGAGATGGAATCATGGCCTGGCAAAAGGTCTACAAATGGTACTCGGCTGTTACCGGAGCGACTCTGTCATCAAAGATGACGCACGCCATGAACCCTGAGCCGCCCAAGAAGATTACTGACGCCGTTACCCGACTTGAGGAGTGGAGCGCATTGGCAGAAAACTTTGAAAAGTACGGTAAAGATTACTCGTTGCCTCTTCCTTTTAAAGTCACCGCACTCAGGGCAATAATGGTGCATGCGAACGATTGGTGTGATGAATGGCAGCAGGCGTGCTGGCGAACGCCCGACGCGCTTAACATTGACTCATTCCAGAAGTTATACTCCAAGTGCGAAGACTGGGCGCGTAAAAAGAAACTCGACTCAGACACAAAAAATAAAGATGCGATGGACATTGGGGACATCAACGAGATGGGTCAAGGGTCCGAAAATGTTTGGGACCAAACAGGATGGGCTGACGAGGGCGGAAACTGGTGGCCAGAAGATGGATCGTGGAGTTACGGGTCCTGGGCCGATGAGAGTGACAGTGGGGACCATGAAGAAGTTGACGCCGTAAACAAAGGCAAAGGTAAAGGCGCGGGCCCCAAATGTTAAAATTGTGGAGGCGTGGGCCATTTAGCCAGAAATTGCACAAGACCTAAACAGTTTACCAAAGGAGGTAAAGGTGGCAAAGGCGGAAAAGGCAAGGGGTACCGGGCCACCTACGGATCCTACGTGAAAGGTAAGATCGGCGGTAAACAAAGTGGTAAAGGAAGTGGCTCGTGGGGTGGAAGCTATGGAGGCCAAGGAAAATTCACTCCCCATAGCGAGCGTGAGTGTTACAAGTGCGGTGCCAAAGGGCACATCGCCATTAACTGCCCGGGCTCCAAGAAGACCGCCAACGAAGTTGAGCAGGAGAGACCTACAATGGACGCTGAAAGTGAACAAACCACCTCGTTCGGCCAACCGCAACATGTTCTCAGCGCTGAGATGAAGGACGCAGTGAACGTGCCACTGAACCCACTCGCAACTGAGGAGGTCAACGGGCAATGGGATCTGCCCTCATATGCCAGAAAGAAAATGGCGCGTAGGACTGCGATGAGTATGAAAAGAATTTACCAGGAGCATCGATGTAACGGAGATTGTAATCATGTGAGTCAATGGGACCAGAGGAAAAGTAAAAGCATAAAACATGAAAAAAGTTGGCTAGAGAAATGCAGAGAAATTGGGCTAATTGAAATGCGGGACTGTGATCCAGAAATTAACGCGGTGCCACCGCTGAGTGCAACGCATGAGACGATCGTGGTTACCGTGGACTCTGGGGCGTATAACACAGTGGGACCCCCCAAGGTTGGCACCTATTTCCCCATTAAGCATACGGATGCGTCAAAGCAGGGAAGACATTACAGCGCAGCGAATGGGACAACGATAAAGAATTATGGTCAACGAGTGATCACGGGCAAAAATGAACATGGGAACGCAGTCAGTATGCCGATCCAGGTAGCAGAAGTCAACAAAGTTCTGGGATCCGTCAGAGAAATGGTAAACGCTGGAAATAGAGTTGTGTTTGACAAGGATCTTAACGGGAGGTCCCTGAGCCACATCATGAATAAGGCCACAGGCAAATTCACAACTATCCACGAGAAGAACGGCACGTTTCAGTTCAACATTACGGTGCCGAGGGGACCAGCGGAAGCTGTCAATCCCAGGAGTGAAGTGAACGCAGCTGAGGGTTTTCCGCGGCCGGGAACCCTGGAGGCGGACCTGTTCTACTAAGCCCCCCATTACCCGTAAGACCAAGCGAAAACTTAAACGTCTTTAATACCGAAGGAGACGAAGGGAGTGAAAGTGGGGGCAACGAGAGTGAGTTGAGTGATGTGGAAGATGTATTTGTGAGCGATGAAGCGGAGTTACCGAAGAAAGTTTACTGTGACATGAGGCCCTCAAAGGAGGAAGTTGAGACGCATAACACGACGCATTTACCTTACCGAAGCTGGTGCCCACATTGTGTTAGAGGAAAAGCACGCAGGCGCAATCACCGTAGACGCAAAAGAGAAGGGAACGGAAACGTGCCAGTGATTTCAATGGACTACATGTGGCTTAAAGGAAAAAAGGAAGAAGGTGAAAGCGCCAGCAATGGCAACCCAATTCTGGTCATGCATTGCAGGGAGACCAAATTAACATGGAGCAGAGTGTTGATGAAAAAAGGAGTGGACTCATACTCAGTAAAGGTGGGATGTGATATGATCAGCTTTACCGGATACAAGAAGGTTATTCTC